CAACCCCCCCCCCCCCCTCCACCCAAATTTTTGCTTACGTTACCACCTCTAAGAGTCATTAGGGCAGGGATAACACTGCTCATTTCAAAAGGTATAATAGTTACTAATGACAAAGTACAAAAGATCTATGTCATGTTGAACCTGTAGACCATATATGTACCTTACGATGAATGTGCCAGGTTATTCTGAAGAAAATCGAATGTACACAGCATTTGTGTCCAGTCAAAGCTTGGACCATGTTCTGCCATGTCTTGTTCCACCATTCTTTGAAACCCCTGATGACTGCGTTCAACCTGGACAAATATATGGCATCAGTTTGCAATGTAATCTTGACAGTATAGGTGATCTTTACATGAGTCAGCACTTGCCTTGCCTTGCGATTGTGGATGGTATGGGCAGCCATTAATTATCTTTACACCCAATTTCTCCATCAGTGCTTGAGTGGCACCCTTGAACTCCCCACCATTGTCTGCCTGCAGAATTGTCAGAGGCCCCACAACAGAAAAGTGGCTGCACAGCGCAGCTGCAACGGCCTCTGATGACTTATCTTTTAATGCCACTCGTTTTACAAAACAACTGAACACGTCCAAAATTTCTAAAATATATTTGTACCCATTTTTTAATATTTACTCATGTCTATTAGATCCACTTGATTGATCTTTTGGGGACTAGAGGCAACAACTGGCTTTAAGTGGCACCCTTAAATTCTCCACCATTGTCTGCCTGCAGTATTGATGGAGGCCCCACAACAGCAATGTGGCTGCACAGCGCAGCTGCCACGGCCTCAGAAGACTTCTCTTTTAATGCCACTCGTTTTACAAAACGACTTAACACATCCAAAATTTCTAAAATATATTTGTACCCATTTTTTTTATATTTACTTATGTCTATAAGATCCACTTGATTGATCTTTTGGGGACGAGAGGCAACAACTGGTTTTATCTGAGGCGCATTGTCAAATTTGGGGCGATTTTGAGGCATTATATTCAGTGTAGATAGGATTGGAACCCTGCCAATACCACTTACTGAATTTCGTATGTGATAATACAATCTTTCTTTTCCAGCCCCTTTTGTTTTGGTGTGTGCCTCTTTGATAATGTTGGGTACTTGTGACTTTTTAGGCACCACTCTCCCTTCACACATGATTTCTGTTTTGTCATTAATTTCTTTAAGAGAATATTTCCTAGAGTCAAATCGTCTCAAAGCTGCACGGGCTTTGCCCGTTTCTTTAACTTCAGATCTCTGTTGCAGTTCACTTCGCACCTTTCTGCCACTTAGGAGATCAGAGAGAATTTGGTACACCTCATCTTCTACTGCACTGATTCCACGGCCCTGAAATAATGTTAAATCTGTAGTTGATTAGGTATAGTTACATGATTAAAAAATGAAAATAAAATATCAATGTTATCTTTGTCTTCTTTTTATGATATACAGATTCTGTCAAATCAGTTGGATGTATTTCTCAAAAAAGTTTTTTTAAAACAGTTTGCAATAAATTTTATTGCTACATTGGAGTTTCTTCCCTTTCTCTCTCTCCCCAGTTAACTACTGTATTTGCTGGTATTTAAAACACTAACCTAAAATATTTGAATCAAAGCTTCATTCACATGGGAAAAATCATTTATTTAATTGTTCTATCCCTCCCTCAGTATGCTTATGTTTTGTAAGTGTTACACTGTTAATTGGCTGAAGCATGAAGCAATTAAGCATGTTAGAATAACTGTAATGAATTCTTTAATTATTCGTTCTTACATTGTTACAAGTTCTTACATTATTCACCTCCCTTTCCTTTTTCTTCTTCACCTGAACTTTCCTCCACCTCCAAATTGTCATCTGTAAGACACGGCCACAAAATACCAAATATGTCTTCATGTCATTCTTGATAAAATATCTCAATATGAAAATGTAGCTGTTTTGGCTGCTTTACAATTTATAACATGGTAGAACGGCTATAAATTTTGAATTTTCTTACATTTTGCAAACTTTGAGAGTCATTTTCATCCTCAGTGCCAGATAGGCTATAATTATAATCCTCTGCAAATTGTCAAACAACACTGATAATTTGAAGTGTAGATTTATATATAAACTCATAATTGTATTAATTTGTACAATGTATATTCTTTCCTTTTTTCTTTTTTTTTCTTTTTTTTTTCCTTTTTTTTTGGGGGGGGGGTGAAAAATGTATATGTAATGTAAATGTTACTGTTGTCAGAACCATGAAGCAATTTAACATGTTAGAATAAATGTAATGAATAGGCAGGCAACAATAAACCTCACCAATCTGTAAAACAAAAATGAAAATTTGAATACATGTAGATTATTGTAGATTATTCATGGATGTACTTAGTTGTGTATTCATTTTTCTCTTTGAAAAAGGTGCATGTGAGCGTACATCTTTATCCAGCTTTTCTATTTTTAATTCAGCACTAGTGCCATCATCATCTTCAGTGACTTTAATCTGAAATAAATATTAGAAATGGAACCAATAGCACAAAACCTTTAGTAGTTTCATTTCTTCAGTATTTACGACAGTTAAAGTGTAAAATCGACATTTGATTTCGTTTTGATTTATTTAATATTTAAAATTAATCTTATACATAAAATTTTGTCCATTAAAAGGGATATTTAATACATGAATTACACAAAGCATAAAACTTATTTTCCCTGTGGTCCATTTATATTTGACGAGATCACGCTAGTATTTTGTTGAACATTCTTGGTAATACATTCTTGATTATACGTGTTTTCAGGCATGGAGACAGCTCGTTGTTTTTGTGTAATTGTGCTATGACATCATCACTTTATGAGGTCGTCCAACGTTATTTGAGAATCCAAGGAAAAACCCGTTACGCTCGTCTTGTATATTTTCGCATACATTAGTATCGGTGTAGATGTAATTCACATTTTCTTTTTGGCATCTTGGCAGACGATGATTTTAAACTACCTTGTCAAGCTTATCAGGTAAAATTTCAATGATGTAATTTTAGAGCTATATTTGTTTGGGTAAATAATTCAAGCTTTCTTTAGTTCAACGCGTGGAGAAAAAGGCAGAGAGGGAAAGAGAGAGCTTGGGGGATCCAGGGAAAATCGACATGATTCGTGCAAAAAGCGTTTCATTTTTAGTGTGTGCCCGTGTCAGTGAGTCTTAATTGGTCGTGCATTATATGAAAGGAAAAATTCTTTTACGTGAAAAACGCTTTAAATTGTAGCACTTTTTATAACGCAAAATATCCACTGAGTTAAATGAAAGTGTTGTGATTGTGAAACACTATATTATGGTTGTGGGCTGTCTTGAAGAAGCGCCATCCAGGTGTCAGCACACGCTGAGGAAGCGCGTGATATGAATTACGAGACACCGGACAGAACACACCTTGGGCGTCAAATCCACAATTTGCGAGCATTCTTTGACCAATACCATATCTACTTAATTATACCACTATAGCTGACATTCAGCAGTAGTGTCATAGTAGATATTGATCAGGGAGCGGTTGTGAAGACGTACCAGGATTCCTATGAGTGGAATATAAGGTAAGTGGTCTACGCCCCTGATCAGAGCGTGACAGCCGCCTTTTTGTGCATCACTGCTAGTTAGACTGTAGTTATCACAAGAATAAGTGACTTTAGCCACTCGGGTTCACTTCATTTGGCGACAAGGAAAATCGAGCCCGTTTCCTGTTCTTTGATCAATTTTTGGTGCAAGAAATTTTTAAATTCCTTTGTCTGCCGCCAAATTTGGATAGGTGGGGGGAGTGAAAGTTTATTTAACTCCACGATCCGTGTGCAGGGGTGGCAATACTTTTTATTGTCCAATATACCCTTGTACGTCCATTTGGTGGTATATGAAAGTAATAATTTTGGTTACTAAATTTAAAGATTAAAAGGGAATTCTTTCATCTAAATTTGATTATAAAGTAATCTCACTTATTCTTGGGGATAACATGAGGTCCCCCAGACTAATTGGTAGTGATCCCTCAATATATATACTGCTATCATCTGTTTTTTAAAGGTAAGGGTTTATTTTTATAAAATTTATCTTAGAATTTACCATATTAGGAGATTTATTCAGGGAATAGTTTCTTATTTCTTTGTTTAGGGTGAAGTTTTTCGGGAAATTTTCCCTGACCTTCTCATCTCAGTGAATCTGAAAGTTCCGGATCACTAGAAGTCGGGTCTTCTGATTAACTCGCACACTAATTGGGGACAGGAAGTGCCTCTTTTACAGAAATTTGCTGGGTTAGTTTGACCTTTGACTTGTCAAGTTATAACATTGTCAATGGGATCTAAGGTAAATCTTAACAGCTACCTATGATGAGCTAATTAGAGTGCCTGGTATAGGTCAAAAACACGCTGAAGCTCTTTAAGATTTCAGGAGTAATAATAAGGTATCTTCTCGGATGAGCACAAAAAATTTGGTCAAAACTAAATCTAAAATGTTGCCCTATTTTTATTCTTCAAGGCCATTAATATTTTAAAGGGGCAAAAACCAAACACATCATTTTTCCCCAACCTCATCCATTTATGATGCCTAAACCTGTCCACAAAGAGCTAATGCAATGTCCCACATCTATTGATTTCTCATTCTCTGATGTTACAAGTAATGATAAAGTAAAGACTCTAGAAAATGAGAAAGAAATACAGTTACAAGTCTGGTTTGTGAAATTAATTTAAGCTACGGATTTAATAAATGCCTCCGTTTCAAATAAATTAGTTTGGCAATTTACCTCAAGAGAATTTCGATGTTTTCACGTGAATAACATCCCTACATGTATATGCCCCCTCATCGTGGCAGTACATGTCCCACATAATTACTTCATTCCACCGTTACTATCCAGCATCACACACAGGATAGTTTACTCTGGATAAAAAAACAACAACATTCAAAACACAATTCTTTATCTTAAAAAATTATAGTTAATACAACTTCTTTAAATAAACATCAGGATGCAATGTTTACACATCCTTTGAATCGTCATTCAAGATATTCACAGGTAATGTCTCTGGTTAAATATGGTCAATCTTCTAACTGTGAGAACCAAATGACCGTCTACTAAAGACATCTGTGAATATCTTTTGAAAAATCAATCTGTGGCCCTGGTACAGGCTGGAGGGGATGCAAGAACATGCAGAGATGACCCCCGTTTGAAACATGGAACATTGAAAATGCGACGGCGAGGTGTGTAAGTGGCTTCTCTATCGCAATTGGCTACACCTTAGTACCATACAGTGCTAAAAGGTTGGCACAAACTAGTGTTAGTTTGTACAGAACGATACACAGTCAGCCCGTCTCACACCCAACCCCTTTCTTAATTAAAATATGTTTTTATTCTATTTCATTTCACTCTATTGAATTTGGGGGAATGGCTATATCTAAAAATTGTTTTTTCTACCTTGATAAATTTTACCTAACTTAGGCTAAGTCTAAATGTTTACTTCTTTAGATTTATGCTGAATCTTATTTAAAAGCCCATATTATTACAGACCTTAATAATGAACATTATGAAGTGTTAAAACTTGCGTTTACTCAAAATAGCGTTACACTTTCCTATTAGTCAACCCCGTAACTTCTATAAGTCAAAAAGAAAAATGAACTACCGTTTTATCTAATAAATCTTATCTTAAAAACACATTATTCCTTTCTCTTAATGTCTACTTGCAAAGAAATGTGTATACTCTACCGTGTGAGGAAAACATTGACGTAACACCTCAGCGCCGCATTCTGATTGGCTAATCAGCTGGGTTTGATCAAACACATTTTTGACCGCCTGCCAAATGCAACAACATAAACAAATCGATCAATAAGCCTTAGCCAGTCCATACTAAAGTGCACGCTCAGATTAAAACTGGGCCTTTGCAACGTGAATATCGACCTGGCTATCAACAACGCAGGCCTGATAACCGTATACTGTGTTATGCAGGTTTCACGTTAAAGAGAACTGGCCATTGTGAAGGGGTTGACCCGTTACTGGACGCACCTGTTAACGGACTACGGGCGTTCCTTAGTCGACAACACTTCACCCGTAACTTGTGGAATTCAAGAATGGGGAAAAGGTGAGACTTACGTTTGTGTTTTTCACAACATCCGAGTGTTCTGTATTCAGTTAAAGTGTTGCACCCATATCATCACCGCGTTGCTGTGGAATACATGCCCAAGTCCGGTGTATTTGCGGCTGTAATTCAAGTAATAGGAGTGAAATCGAAGGAGGAGGAGAAAGAGGGAATGTTAAAGGTATGATCACGAGAGAGAGAGAGAGAGAGAATATAGGGGCCTAACAAATAACTTTAAGGTGTAGTTAATATTCGGCAGCCAAATGTGTTCGTGTTAACTGTTTGTTGTGTATGTGTGTCTCATAAAGATGGCAGATCATGGTGATAGGTGATCAATCATTCCCATTTGTAGGCCATTTACATGTAACAGTAGAGGTTTTTTTAATCTAAGCTTAGACAGCACAATGCAGCAAGTCGCCACTGTTTTCGCTTTTTAGTCGCTGCGTGGGACGGCTATCGATTGAAATGAAACATAGCAGCACAACAGCGCAGAGCAAATTGACATCCCAAATCACGTATTATTAAGGCGCACTTATGCTTTTGTATCAAGCCGAGATACTTAAAGCTAGAACAAATGAGCCGTAGCATGAAGTAAGATTAGGACCAAGTAGTAGGCTATTTATCTATGCCTTGATTATATAAGTTAACGGGTGTTGTATATTAGTAGTCGAATGTTCGCCCTGTTATCCATCCTAGGACGGTTTGTTTACTCTGTTCCGCCATTTTCAATTTACCTGTAAACGTGTGTGTATTTGGGAAGAGTGGCTTGATTAGGTCAGTGTTTCCTGCAGTGCACTAATAGCACGCACACACACACAGACACACACACACACACACACACACACACAGGGAGAAAGAGAACGAGAGAGAGGTGCGTGATAGATCGTGATTGTGTGTGTGTGTGTGTGTGTGTGTGTGTGTGTGTGTGTGAGAGAGAGAGAGAGAGAATAGATGGATGTTTTGCGCAGTGACGCTTACACTTAGATGTATAAATAGACATAAGAGGTCATGCTGATATAGGCATGTATCTTACCTCAGGTGTAAGGATAAGAGGTCAGAAACCTAGAGCTTTCCTTTCGTCGGGTCTGAAGAGGAAATTAAGCTTTTCAGCAGGTAAACATCGCCCTGAGTACCACGGATCACTGAAGACGCATCTCTCTGCTATCAGCACGCTTTTAACGTTCTCAGTGCCCCGTGAAACTCCGGGTGATAACTGTGAAAGTCGTCTCAGTTTTGTACACTTAACACTCATTTTCATCTGAAGGGAAAATTCAGGAACCAAAACATTCATAGCTGGGCTGCGTGAAGATGTTGTCAGCAATGGTTATCATAGAGGACACACTGAGAGAAGACTTTTAGTTATAATATATAGAGAATCGAGTGAGAATATATAGGGAAAAACTCGAAGATAAGTGGGCATGAATGATAGCAAATCCAAGGATGTGAAACACTGTTCGGGGGAGGGTGGGGGAAGATCACGCGCTACTCTCAAGTTCGAAGGTTCCCAGTTTTCCCCCATTCTCCCCAACCTCCTCCCCCCATAATATACATGACAATTTTCGATCCTTGTGTCCTACATATTCAAATTGTCTAGCGAAAAATAGCAAACATTTTANTCCAAATGTATATTTTTAGTCCGTGTTTCACAAATATAACTTAATTGAGTATTAGATACAAAATTGATTATTTCTAACGTATAAAAAACTAAAAATCGAGTTTTAGACGTATTTTTAATATCCTAGACCCCTTAATCTAAGTGGACATGAATGATAGCAAATCCAAGGGGGTTAAACACTGTTCGGGGGAGGGTGGGGGTAGATCACGCGCTACTCTCAAGTTCGAAGGTTCCCAGTTTTCCCCCTTTCTCCCCAACCCCCTCCCCCCATAATATAAATGCGAAACGTGACGATTTTCGATCCTAGTGTCCTGTATATTCAAATTGTCTAGCGAAAAATAGCAAACATTTTACCCCCCCCCCCCCCCCCCCCCATCTCTCGTTAAAACAAGATCCTGCATTCGACAGAGAGGAACTTGTGCTAGAACTTCCTGTCATACAGTATATTCTGACTCGGTCCATTTTAATTGTCATAAAATAAGACGTGTTTGTGAACCACTAGACGTCACTAATAGCTAGGCACGTTTGCTTGACACTTGAGAACTAAGGACTTGAGGTTGGAAGGTTATATTATGTTTGGTCAGAGCTTCATCATCCTATGACATTTGTCTTTATTACAGAGTTTTGTTAAGATGACTAAATTAGTCATAATGAGATTAATTATTGGAAAAACTTACAACTCTGCCGTGTTTACGACAACGATTCATTGCTTCGCTACTAATTCCGGCCCAATCGACATTGATTATCGCCAATTAAGGAACCGGACTAATCGTAAAATGCAGGTCAAAGATCGGAACCAGGTTAGGCCTACAATAATCAATTTTTAAAACTTTTGGCATAAAATGTGAGCTGCCTGTGACCCTAATAATCGTTACAAAGAAAAAACATCGATAAAAGATGAAGGTGAAAGTCGACTGGAATAAAAGGACGCTCTAGACGAGCGCCATGAAAGCAGCTTGCTGAAATACGCATCCGCCAAGCTGGGGACCCAAGGACCACGCCTTTAACTATATGTAGTTCGTGTGAACAAAATAGAAACTGTTATCTAATAGTGACAATCCAGTTTTGGTGTTTGCAGTAATTATATCGAAAACGTGAAGTCGAGTCAGTCCAATGGGAGACCCGTCATTACTGAAACGGTGAATTGGGGGAGGGGGATAGAGTAAACCACGTGGTCCCCCCCCCCCCCCAAATATGGTGAAAATAGTAAAAAAAAAAAAAACGACTTGCGTTGGTTTCTGTAAGACAAGCACGAATCTGACTTTTCTCACGTAACACTGTATTAAACTAAGTAGTTGTATATAACCCCATTTTGAAACATTTACACATCTGACTTTTTCTCGTAAAACATTTCTCGTGAAGTATTTGTATAGAAGTCCGTACTTTAATCCGATCTAGACAGTGAGTAAAAGTACATTACAAACTCGTATTTAAATTTATTTTTATAAATGCCTTCACTCTTTCACCACTGGGCAACAACTGAATTTATTTCCAACCGAGAAGCAAATGGTGTTGAATAAATCACCAGAAAACTGTAGTAGTTTAGCTCTTATCCCAGCGTTCTTTCAGTGCAAGACAATATATCAGGCTCGTTAAAACTTGGCTTTGTTACCAAACAAATAAAATGAATGCTGGAAAGTCGCATTACGGTTATTTTCCAATACATTGGCACAGCGTGAATTCATAACTTCCACGGAATTGCTTTGTTAGCAATGCTTTCAAGTGTCGATTTCAATGATTATAAAATATTGCTTTACTTCGTGTCAGATAATACATTGTTGTAAATAGCTGAAAAGGATAAATCCTTAATAATAAAAAAATATAAGAAATGTGAGGCGTTTAAAAATTTTAAGTAATTGCCGTACACTCGTCTTTCGGGCACTTATTCTCTATGGATATCAAGTTAACGCTTAACACGGTAGAATTACGCCTTGCAGTTTGGCTGAAGTGCACTTAATGGGTATTTTTTACAGGAGGAAAATGCGAGATAGGATCGTGGTACTGTGTATTTCCCTATCGATCAGACTGCGCGTTAGACCTTTGTGAAAGCTAAAAAAATCATTGGCAGTCTGGAGAAGAGAACTACAGCAACATTTATAGGTGTACAGTGCGTGTTAGTCCTTTATTTAGTTAATAATAATGATAGTTTCCTAGAAATTCCTTCAATTGTTTCTTTTTTCACTGTATTAAACTTTATCCAGGAGCGGAGAAAATTACTTCGGGTTCTAATTTTTTTAAATAAATCCACCATCAAGAGTTAAATTTGCCAGTCCTACCCCGAATACGAGTTCGATTCTAAAGTCAAAAAAAAAAAAAAAAAAAAAAAAAAAAAACTGAACTCGTATAGATCGTTATTCGTTGAATGGCTTTGTATGTTTTAATCTGGTGGGTCAGGAAGAAGTATCGAAATTTGAAGGAAAAAAAACAAATAGAACCTATAAGGCTGGGCCTTGTTAGCCCAAAATTTTGTATTGTAGATCAAACATTTAATTGTCCTGCGTAACTTTTATCCATATTAATCATCTTTAATAAATTAAAAAGCCATGTCTTATTTATTATAAAAGAGGTCCGGTGTTAAAACTAAATCGACACACTGCCGTTTTTTTTTTTTTTTTTTTTTTTTTTTTTTTTTTTTTTTAGCCTTGGCAGACTTACTAGGTTTTGGTCTAAAAGATTAGACCAGTCTTTGGGCTGGAGTTCGTGAAAACCGGCCGCGGCNGAAGTTCTTTAGTGAAAACCAGCCGCGGCTGAGATTTGTCGATAACATTCCTTTCAGCAAGTCATTGAAAGTACTTCAAAAGTATATTTAGCATGACTGAGGGTATGATACGCTGAATTTGTGTCTAGTTCCCATTTCACTTAAAAAGGTTAATTTGTTTCTACTCGGTTTACAAGGTGCAATTGATATTTGACAAATGATGCATGACGAGAGAGAGAGAGAGAGGGGGGGGAGGGAGGGGTGGTATGTTCCCTGGCATACAGTATTTTTGTAACACACTACTATCTCACACTGTGATCAGAGAATAGATGTTAAGTATTATGTCTCGAGAGAGTTCATTCAAAATAATAAGAAAAAAGTAAACACAAGTGCAAAGCACTTGAAAAATAGTTGTTTGATGTTAAGTTATAGGTAAATAGCGACTCATGGTTAATACTGGTGTAGATGGTATGTAGTTTATTATTATTATTATTATTATTATTATTATTATTATTATTATTATTATTATTATTATAAATTTTAAGCAGCAGATCTAGTTTTCATCGAAAAGCGGTATTGAAAAAATATTTAATTTGGGTTTAGGAGATGACACTCCACCTGCGTCTTTTTCATGGTCAGTCAGAAATATGGTAGAGAAACGGGTTGAAAATTGTCTTTGTTATGGTGATC